CGGAAGTGGTCAATGTAGCCAATGATCCATTCAAAGTCTATAGAAAGCCTACTGATGAAAAACCATGAAGAAAGAGGTGTCACACGGCATGATTTTTGTAAAAATGAATTTTCCCCTACTACAGGTTCCCCCGGGCGTACTCCGGTGGTTCCGGAAGTGGCCAATGTGATCAATAATCCAATTAAAGTCTTTAGAAATCCTACTGATGAAAAACCATGAAGAAAGAGGTGTCACACGGCATCATTTTTGTAAAAATGAATTTGTCTCCTACTACAGGTTCCCCCGAGGGCACTCCGGTGGTTCCGGAAGTGGCCAATGTGGTCAGTGCTCCATTTAAAGTCTATAGAAAGCCTATTGGTAAAAAAAACCATGAAGAAAGAGGTGTCACATGGCATGTTTAGAGTGAATGAAAGAACTGATCGCACTCAGAACCCTCCCTCATGACCGATTCCAGGGAAATGGTTATATCTCGGTTGATTCTGAGTCGATTTTAGCTCTTGGTACGTCATTTGTTTTGGATATGGTTCTATTTTTGGCGTATGAACAAAACACACAGTTTAGTAACGGACACTCTGAGAAAAACTCATCACAAATTTAGCAATTTAGACATGCCCTCAGGAAACCCGGAATATCTCCGGTATCCGGTAACCATGGTCACTTCCATTGCCTCACCATAAAACTTGATTAGTTTTTAGTCGAATGTTCTTGAAGATTAAAAATCGAACAATATTCAACGAAGTTTCAACATTTTGCTAGTACCTATTTCTCACAACCCCTGTAGTCTTGCTCGAGATTATGGAAACACCATAACAACTCCACGAGAATTATATAAAGGGTGTCCACGATGAAATTGCCACACTATGAAATTGCTCTAACTTTTTAACCGTTGGGTAGAATTTAATGCAAATTTGGGTGGATTTAGTTCATAGTGCATTATTTACATCCTGCAAGTTTTAAAGTCCTGTGATCAAAACTCGCGGAAATGGAGTCGAAAGATCAGCTCGTGCGTGATAAAATCTTGCGCATTCATCACGAGAACAAGGATCTCTCGCATCGTTCCATCGCTAAAACGTTGGGAATCGCGAATTCCACGGTGTCGCGAGTGATTAAGCGGTTCGAGGAACGGTTGACCACCGATCGGAAGCCCAGAAGTGAAGGAAAAAGTATTCCGTACAACACCAAAAATCACAACCGCGTAGTTGGGGCCTTCAACCGAAATCCGAACGCCTCCGTTAGGGATGTGGCTAAGAAGCTGCACCTAAGCCGAAGTTTTGTCCAGAAGGCCAAAACTAAGGCTGGGCTTCGAACGTTCAAGGTACAAAAGGCCCCTAATCGCGATGAGAAGCAGAACAAGTCCGCCAAAACCCGTGCCAGGAAGTTGTACCTCAACATGCTGACGAAAGTTGAATGCTGCATCATGGACGACGAAACATATGTGAAGGCCGACTTCAAACAGATCCCCGGCAACCTGTTTTTCACGGCCAAGGATAAGTTCAGCGTTCCGGAGCATGTCCGCACTCAGAAGATGTCCAAATTTGCGAAGAAATTCCTGGTTTGGCAAGCCATCTGCACGTGCGGGAAGCGGAGTGCACCTTTCGTGACCCAGGACACGATGAACGGACAGGTGTACATAAAAGAGTGCCTCCAGAAGCGGCTGCTTCCTCTCCTGAAGGCCCACAACGTCCCAACAATCTTCTGGCCGGATTTGGCCTCATGCCACTACTCCAAGGACGTGCTGAAGTGGTATGCGGACAATAAGGTCAATTTCGTGCCGAAAATGTTCAACCCTCCCAACACTCCGGAGCTCCGCCCCATCGAGAAGTACTGGGCGATTATGAAGCAGCACCTTCTTAAACGACCTAAGGTAGTGAAGACAGTCGAGGAACTGAAGAAAGTATGGGTTTACATGCAAAAAACGGTTGATTCACAGGTTGTGCAGAATCTTATGGCCGGGGTTAAGGCCAAGGTGCGGGCATTTGCATATGGACTGTAAATAAAATACGAGTAAAATGGTAAAATGAAGTTTAATAGTTATTTCTCAATCCCTGAAAATTTGATGGCAATCGGATGAAAACTCGAATTTTGCGAATCAATTTTGTGTGTGGCAATTTCATCGTGGACACCCTTTAACTGGGCAGTTGAACAAACATAAAAATATCACAAAACTACGTTTCGAGTACATATCCACTGAACAGTACATCGAAATGTCAGAAGAACTCGAAGAACTATATAATAGTACAAAGACAATATCTGAAATACAGAAATTCCACAGTTTTGTGCCTATAACTGGTGACAAAGTAGCGGCAAAAGGTATTCTAATTCAGAAGATGAACCAAAAATATTTAACTTGATTGGAAAAAGGAAAAAATAGCATGTATGAAAATAGGTTTAAGACATTGAAAATATATAAATAAATGATATATGAAAAATCTTGTCTTTTTTCTCTCACATATTATGAAATTTTGCATCAGTAGTAGACAACAGCATAAGGGAATGATATTTTTGACAAGGTCTACATGTCCAGAAAGTTTTATTGAACTCTGAGAGGGTGCTGCCAATTCCAAATACGATGCATCATGAGTCCTTTTCATATGAAATGCTCGATTAATCAAAGTGAACTTAAGTGCTGATTAGACAAAATTGAATCGCAAATTGGGCTTCATTTGATTCTGACATGATTTTGTGCTTCACTGGTTTAGTTTTGTGTGAAAATGGTAAATTAAAAAAAAAATCAGTTCAGACATGAAAAACTTTTTAAGCGGCGCCGGTGGTGTAGTGGTAAGCGTGATTACCTCTCACCCCAGCAGGCCTGGGTTCAATCCCAGTCGGCGCCGCCGGGATGTTCTGAGGCATAGCATCTCTGATCACGCCTTCCTTCGGAAGGGAAGTAAAGCCGTTGGTCCCCGGTTCATGAGTTGATGGGTCGATAGGTAGGGTCCAGGTGTGGGAGCTGCCTCCCTGGCGTCGGTAGCATTGGTGCTCAGCACGGAAAACAAGATCGACGGAAAACAAACCAAAGGAAAAAAAAAAAAAAATGAAAAACTTTTTGTTAGAAAAATGTTTTTTCCTTACAAGTGCCATGTATGGACGGTTGGTAGTAAACATAATTACCTATCTTGAGACAAAGTTTCAACCAAATCAAACATGGCCATTTTTTAAATCGACTCCAAATTTTTAAAAATCAATTTTTTAAATGTAGGTCTCAACTGGAATTTTTTCAGTATTTTTTTTTTATAATTTGGACAATTTCCTACAAGTTATCCATACAACACATTTTTGAAGGAGTTGTCATTTTTCCATAATATTTTTTTGAAAAAAAAACGGCAAAAGAAGTTTGGCCCTTCTCAAAGGTTAGTCTAGATGAATTTTTGAAAAACTAAGTATATGCAAAGTGGCTTATACACACATCCAGAAAGTTTCATTGAAATCTGAGAGGGTGCCACCAGCTCCGAATACGATTTGGCGCGAAATGCGTCATATACAACACATTAACATCGAAAGAGACTACCCTGAAGACATTTTTACTCCATGGAGCAACGTACAGCATCAAATTCAACCGACTTAGGGACTTTGGATAACAGGACATTATTGAACCGAAAACACGTCCAACATGTATACCTTCAACTATCTAGAAACAAAATATGGAACTGGAGCCTACTGGGTGGAGTCACATTCTCCACGATAATTACCATAACCTTGTGTCGTTTTCGTTATCGGTTGCACCTTTGTTTACAAACAAATGAACGGTGCAGTGTAGTAAAAATGAAAACAACATTAGTTTTTGTTTGCTTTTCTCTATTTTAGTCAGATCATCCAAGGCAATCTTGATAAACAACCCACGGAGGAAAAGGACCAAATAATCAGCACCAAAAGCGGAACCACCCACCGAGGGAAACCTGAACACGTGAGGACACGCTTCTCTACCCCCCGGAGGAGTTATACAGCAGAGCCAGACCATGATGCCAAGTACTACCGTCCAAAGTACAGTCATCGATCACATCACCACCAATACCAACGAGTAAGCTACCATGTCACCAGGCCATCGTCAGCACTCTTCAAGCAACTCTACCACACCAGCGAACACGCCACTGTTGCCACCGAGTCACCGCCAGTGGATTGCAGGATAAGCAGTTTTAGCTATTAAATAGAGTTCGATCGTAAAGTGAACAATTAGTCTTAATTAGTTATTTGTGAGAGTTCCATGCAGTTCAATAATCCTGTACGATCAAATGTAAAAGTTAGTTAATAAAATATTTTTTTATGAGTTACTAAGCGTAATTCCTTTAATTATATATTATAACAATTAAGGCTGGTAAGTTACTATAGTAGCTGGAGCACCTAGGTTAAAATGAAATGTAATTTATTTTGAGTTTGGAACAAATAAAGAGTTAAAAAACGAAAATTACTACTTTAGTCTGTTATTTGAAAGTAGCATTTTCAAATATATAAACATTTATTTGCAATTTTCCGTAATTTTTAAGTGAGTTAAACGATAACATTTACGTGAAAATCATTTATTTCTATGAGAATCACTTAACTGTAATCTCTCACCTAAAACACGTAATATTCACCTGAATAGTATGATGGAAAATATCTACGTGCCTGTTTAGGTGGATATAACGTGAATTTTATTTGCAGTGTATAATTACGAATGGCATCAAAATCATTTTTTTTTTATATTTTAGTACGTTAAAAACCAAAATCTTGGTAGGTTTTGTTGACACGGTTTTTTACACGATATAATATCCCCCGTATAAAAAAAAACCTGAGTGTAAAAGTGGACAGTTTTTTCATCAAGCATTTATAATTGATGGACATAATAGTAATGTATCTAGTAGACCCGAAAATGTTTTTATTGTTACCTTTGAAATTTGAGTGGAATTAACAATTTTATGTTCATCTTTTTAATACGTGGCATTACAAAAAAAAACAATTCGATTTTCTGAGAAATGCAGCATCGGACACTTCTTAAAAGCATATAAGCATTCACATTATCTTACCACATTTTGAGCCGGCGTTTTGAGCTCTGGAGATGTTGTCGATGATTCATATCCAACATCTGTGTGAATATTTACTTTAGACATTAGCTTACTGACGTTAGAAATAGAAGACGGACTAGAATTTAAGTTTTCCTCGCATGAAGAAAACAGCAATTGTTGCTGCTTCTGTAGACAAGCATGTTTCGTTGTTTCAGTTATGGCTGTGGTTGCTGGTGCCGCTGGATGATTGTCAATATTATTCTCAATCTCATGTTCATGTGGTTCCTCCTGATCCTGCTATAAAAATAATTATTTTTAAATAATATACTCAGGTCACTGCAGATAATAATATCTCATACATCTTCTGGACAAAGTTGAAATGCCATTTGTAACAAGTTTTTGGCAGACTGTGATCGTTCTAACACAAAACTATTCGTATTGTCGTTGCTTTGTGCAGGAGGTGACCACGAATTGTAGTTATATTGTCCACCAGATACTCGGTGTCTGTCCAACTCGTCTTGCAGCCACTCGACTGCATGTGTCCATTGACGGGCTAGTTGTACCGTATTATGTAACATGTTTAAAGCTACACGACTTCGATTGAACAGGGTTACCAAGCACTTTATGCATTGATAAGCGCGTTTCTGGTAATTAATTTTGTTCCTCTGGATGATGTCTAATAAACCTTCCCTGTCATCTGAAATGCCTGAAAAAAGAGTAATTAATTAAGAATTATTAGGAGGTTCGAATTCAATAATTTGGAGTAGGTATAGAAATTGATGGAACTTGTGATCCGTTCCGTAGCATTGTAAACTTCGAGTAATAGTCGTTCAAAGAAAATAAAAAGAAGAGAAATGAAAAGCTCTTGCAAAACAATTGCATTTTGATTCCACATCATTAATCGAGATATCTATTTTAAACTTAGGGGACGCGCCAATAACGCTAAAGATCATGAGTTAAAATCTCCTTCTCGGACAAGACACGAACAACCTAAAATGTGCTCTCCCTCCTTCCACGGTTGCACAGGAGATCGATAACTTTTCGTTGCGTTTAATGTTTGTCAATCTACAATCATTAAGATTTTTTTTATATTGGAACTCTGTTTTGATCGAAATATGGGGAATACGGCCGAATTATTTTATGTTGGATTTGTTCATATGCCATATGATGAATGCCACTACCTCGAACTGGACACCCAACTAACATTTTTCATGACGTAATTTAGGTCTAAAACGCTTTGCCAATTTAATTTATACAACCGTAAACGCTGTCCAGACTGGAGAGTTATAACATGTTATAACGGTTGTCAAATTTTTTTTTTTTCTGAAAGTGAATCGTTTATTTCAATGTTCCTCAAAGATTATTTACAAAATAATTTAGCTTTCACATATTAAGTAGAATTCAAGTGCACTAACATCGATTCTAACGTTAACTTCATTAACATAGGTGAGGTATAATATAAGCATCTTCAATATTTGACTTCGTTTTGTTGGTCCTACGTTTAATAGTGCTGGGCGCAGCAATTCTTCGAAAGACAGTCGTTGCCAACCTCCAAGTATCATCGTCATCTTTTGTTGTACAAAAGCCCATGCGTGTGCTACTCGAGGGCAAACACTGAATTTGTGTTGCAGCGTTTCAACCACAGCATTGCAATGCAAACAATTCTCAGCGTTCGCACGTTGGATGATTCTCATCAATTTTCGGTGCACCGTCTTCTCATTTATGAGCAAGTATAAGCTGCTCCGATGGCTCGATGACAGCTGTTTTGTTGCGATGTTTAACCATATACGCTTCCAGTTCGTGCCAGGATTTTTCCTTTCGACCCGTGGTGTTTCCGTCCGCTCCACAAACAGGCGATGTATTTGTTCACTAGAGTTATGCTCTCGAACAAATGGTGGGAGAAGAGGAATTTGCTGGGAAAGGGAAGGTCTGCGGGGGGAGAAATTCCTTGGTTGCAAGTAAACTGATGAAGGTTGTGTTTATTCCCAGCTGCCGCATTGTTTCGTGAAGGAAAGAAAGGGATATCCGATCGAAAGCATGATCGAGATCGTAGCTTATCAGCTTCCCTTTTTGCTTCCTCGCTATCAGCTGAGCAATTCGATCTTTCAGAGAAAGAGTGGTTTCGAAAATTGAATGTCCATCGTTGGAACATTTTTGTGCACCACTCAGCACGCGGTGAGTCCTCATCACGAGCTCGAGACGTGCTTTCAAAATCCTACTTAGAATTTTAAAGTCCGCATTCAGAAGGCTGATCGGGTGGTATCCTCGAGCGGTGTTTGCCGTTACTCTCTTTCGCACTAACCCAATTACTCCGTTGGCGAACTCAGGGGATAGCTCATTTGTCAGAGCCTCATTTAATACGAGGTTCAGTTCTCGGTGGATGACGTCGAATGTACGTTGGTAAAATTCAACAGGTAACCCGTCGCTTCCCGCATGTACGAATAGACGACAAAATCTCTGATGTTGTAATTTCTGCCACGCAAACTTCGTTGCACTCGTCATGTTCAAGTACCGTAAAACGGGGTAACATTGATAGTTTTTTAAAGTATATTCTAAATATTTTTTTACAGCAATGAATGTTTTTTTCAAATTTCACAGTTTTAAAACAAGTACTGAGAATCCAAAAGTTGATTCGTAAGTAATATGTTTAACGGAAATTAAGGCATTTGCACTATTTTTTAGTTTTGTGACCGAACTTCAGTATTTTGATTTGGGGTTACTTTGATAATGCTCGATGAATGTAGAAAAAATGGGTGAAACTCACACAATTTAGTTCTTTGAACATGAAACTTTGAATGAGTATATAATCAGAAAACATCATAAGCAATAAGAATACAGCATTGAATTTGTGATGGCTATATCAGAAATACATTTCATAAGTGATGGTTTGAGTGCTTTTTCAAACAGGCGAAAAACACGCAAATTGTTTTTTTAATATGTTTGTAAAATATGGAACGCATACTATATAAAGTTTATATACGATATCAACAGAAATACCCTAAGCTACAATATGGAACCAATTTTTTAAATTTGGAAAAAGTGCAGCGAGTAAATTTAATCTTTATATTATGTATACTATCAAAGTTACCCGCATTATCAAAGATACCCCGTTTTACGGCACCACTCTCTCGCTGTGTATAATTCCTTGAAGTAACGAAGCAGATGGTTTTCGATCGTTTCGTTGTTTTCGCCACGCAGCTCTGTGATAACAATTTTTTCCTCCGTCGTTCTCAAAGCTGAAACGTGCTAATGTTTTCACCTGCAATGAAGATACCGTTGATGCGCATGAAGTTCTGCGAGAAGCTGCGGTGGTGTGTTTTCACGCGGTTAATCGTAGCTATCATCGCTGGATTCTGGAAATAACCATCATACGCTTGCTGAAGCTGCGCGTACAGTCGTTGGTGTTCTGCATTAAACTCGCCGTATGCCTCGCGAGATTTCCATCGGAAGAAGGACTGGATTTTCGGCTTAGCGTATGACAGCCACCACGTGATCCAATTTGGAAAGTTCCGTCTCTTTTGGGTTACATATTGCCCCCAAGTAACAATTCAGTAACCATTTAGCATCCACTCTAATTTATGATGGTTTGATAACGGCAATGAACAATCCATTTAGTTTGAATATAGCATTTCAAAGTGTAAAACATTCCTGCTTAGTAGGTAATTCAGCTTTTTGCTATTTTAAAAAACTTTTATAGTCTGGCAAGAAAGTCAAACAATGTCTTGTTTTAAAAATAAATTTAAAACAGTTATCAATCCCTCCTTAAAACTGTTCTGTAATTCAAGCATAAACGTTATTAGCAATTGTTTATCAATGTCTTGATAAAATACTTTATAAACGTGTTCTATTATTATAAAAGCAACCATAAAACCATTAGGTTTTGCATTAGAGCAAAAAGCATTTATTGCTGCTTTTTAGGCTTTTAAAGTGCATCTTTAACTCCCCAATTACTCTGTTTACAAATTGAGCTTAAAAGATGGTTCCTCATAGTTAATAAATGCCAAATTTATGACAAGGAAATCTAGAAGGATAGACGCAGTAGGATGAAAAATTCAAGTCGATTTCAGCCAAATTTACTTCTTTAGAAGAACCAGCACACCATCAACGACTGACCATCTGGCGGAGAAGAGTACAGTGAGCGTGGCCCTCGAATTCATAAAACATTGTCGAAAGTTTTAAAACATACCAGCCTTCTTCAGATCTTGCGAATAGATGACAATCGAAATGGTTTCCGATCCATAGCAGCGATTTTATCCGGCGAAAGAATCAACTCTTCGAAAATTTTACTCAAGCGTACATCCCTGCATCGTTGGATGGTGCACTTCTGTAACCATCCGGAAGAAAAGGACCTTTTTCGGGAACGATTGCGGTTCCAGCTATTCGAAATACGAAATGTTGTGAAACAGTATCACAAACTATCTGAGCAACTGCTCCCAATCCATCGGGAGAAAACCGCCTGGAAGAATCCTGGATCTCACAGCGCAACTATCGAAAGATAAACAAACTTTAACGTTTAACGTTTTTGCAGGCAACTTTGCCTCCATAAATGCTGCCATAAATCTGAACGGGTTAGGATCAAGCAAAATGGCTTTAGATAAATACAATTCAGCCTGCAAGTTTTCTTCATAAAAGCCATTTTAAAACCTTATTAATTTGTTAAGGAATTCTTGAAAGCAAAACAACTTTTTCACAAATTACCCATGAAAATCAACTTTGATGCCACCGCCATGTTACAATTAGTTTGCTTGTTTTTTACAATCTTCGATTTTCAATCAATATTTCCTTAGATATAAGGCCGGAACAAATATCAAGTTCTTCTTTTCTCACCCCTCCCCCCCTCCCTTCAAAATTTTGGAATATCACCAAGGGAGAAATAAAATTAAACTTTCAGTGTATATTTATTTTTCGCAAATTCATTTGGGTATGGATACTTGCTTTGCAAAATTTCCATAATGTTGTTGTTGTTGTTGTTGTTGTTGTTGTTGTTGTTGTTGTTGTTATTGTTGTTGTTGTTATTGTTGTTGTTGTTGTTGTTATTGTTGTTGTTGTTGTTGTTGTTGTTGTTGTTGTTGTTGTTGTTGTTGTTGTTGTTGTTATTGTTGTTGTTGTTGTTATTGTTGTTGTTGTTGTTGTTGTTGTTGTTATTGTTGTTGTTGTTGTTGTTGTTGTTGTTGTTGTTGTTGTTGTTGTTGTTATTGTTGTTGTTGTTGTTATTGTTGTTGTTGTTGTTGTTGTTATTGTTGTTGTTGTTGTTATTGTTGTTGTTGTATACCCTTGTTCTTTTAAAGAATTTTCACATAAATTGGTACTTGACCAGTACGGCATGACAGGTCCTTGAAATCGGATCAGCCGGTTTAAGTTGTTCGGATTTTATCGCAAACGGATTTTATCGAACATCATTCCTAATCTTGTTTGGCAACTCACTTCAATCTGATCAATCCCTCTTGTTCGTTGCGCACATCTTCGTCTTGTCCCAGTCGGATCACTACAAAGAACCATTTTCAGTGGGTCGTTATCCGACATTATTACGATGTGCCCAGCCCACCGTAGTCGCCTTAACTTACAAACCTTCTGCAATGATACTTAATGTTTCACATCTTTTCTACAGTGATTCAACAATTTCCAAGCTACCTAAATCCAATCTTTTCAAAATTGGTTTAAAATTTTTAGAAGGTAGACCAAATCAGAAGCGATTCAGGAAATTCC